AGCCAAGAATAGTCATACTTTTCATATCACAGTTCATATCACAAAGATCCAGGCTACACTCTTAAGTCTCTTTTTCATACTTCTTAATCATGTTACCCCCTTCCTTACTCATGTTGAGGCATCGCAGAACACATTCATTCACATTCACTGCATCACGGCTGTTTCCCTGCATGGAGAAAAGGTTTTCCTAGAAGGGTATATTATACAGTCGTGGTCAAAAGTTTTGAGAATGACACAAGTATTGGTCTTCACAAAGTTCGCTGCTTCAGTGTTATGAGATATTTTTGTCAGATGTTACTATGTTATACTGAAGTATAATTACAAGCATTGCATAAGTGTCAAAGGCTTTTATTGACAATTACATTAAGTTTATGCAAAGAGTCAGTATTTGCAGTGTTGACCCTTCTTTTTCAAGACCTCTGCAATCCACCCTGGCATCCTTATTTTAGCTCATTGGTCACCATAGCAGCACCCACCCGTAGTCTGCGCTCCAGCAGGTATATCTCACTGGTCATTCCCAAAGCCAACACCTCCTTTGGCCGCCATTCCTTCCAGTTCTCTGCTGCCAATGACTGGAACGAATTGCAAAAATCTCTGAAGCTGGAGACTCTTATATCCCTCACTAACTTTAAGCATCAGTTGTCAGAGCACCTTACCGATCACTGCACCTGTACACAGCCCTTCTGAAATTAGCCCACCCAACTACCTCATCCCTATATTGTTATTTATTTTGCTCTTTTGCACCCCAGTATCTCTATTTGCACATAATCTCTTGCACATCTAGCATTCCAGTGTTAATACTAATTGTAATTATTTTGCACTATAGCCTATTTATTGCCTTACCTCCATAACTTGCTACATTTGCACACACTGTATATATATTTTCTGTTGTATTTTTGACTTTATGTTTTTTTTTGACCCCATATGTAACTCTGTGTTGTTGTTTTTATCGCACTGCTTTGCTTTATCTTGGCCAGGTCGCAGTTGTAAATGAGAACTTGTTCTCAACTGGCTTACCTGGTTAAATAAAGGTGAAAAAAAAAAAAACTGTCAGTTAACTTCTGGCCCACATCCTGACTGATGGCAGCCCATTCTTGCATAATCAATGCTAGGAGTTTGTCAGAATTTGTGGGTTTTTGTTTGTCCACCCACCTCTTGAGGATCGACCACAAGTTCTCAATGGGATTAAGGTCTGGGGTGTTTCCTGGCCATGGATCCAAAATGTTGATGTTTTTCCTGGAGAGAAGTGGCTTCTTTGCTGTCCTTCTTGACACCAGGCCATCCTCCAAAAGTCTTTGCCTCACTGTGCGTGCAGATGCACTCACATCTGCCTGCTGCCATTCCTGAGCAAGCTCTGCACTGGTGGTGCCCCGATCCCGCAGCTGAATCAACTTTAGGAGACGGTCCTGGCGCTTGCTGGACTTTCTTGGGCGCCCTGACGCCTTCTTCACAACAATTGAACCTCTCTCCTTGGAAGTTCTTGATGATCCGATAAATGGTTGATTGAGGTGCAATCTTACTAGCAGCAATATCCTTGCCTGTGAAGCCATTTTTGTGCAAAGCAATGATGACGGCACGTGTTTCCTTGCAGGTAACCATGGTTAACAGAGGAAGAACAATGATTTCAAGCACCACCCTCCTTTTTTAAAGCTTCCAGTCTGTTATTCTAACTCAATCAGCATGACAGAGTGATCTCCAGCCTTGTCCTCGTCAACACTCTCACCTGTGTTAACAAGAGAATCACTGACATGATGGCAGCTGGTCCTTTTGTGGCAGGGCTGAAATGCAGTGGAAATGTTTTTTGGGGATTAAGTTCATTTTCATTCTTTGCAATTAATTGCAATTCATCTGATCACTCTTCATGACTTTCTGGAGTATATGCAAATTGCCATCATCAAAACTGAGGCAGCAGACTTTGTGAAAATTAGTATTTGTCTTTCTCAACTTTTGACCACGTGAGGGGAAAAAAGTATTTGATCCCCTGCTGATTTTGTACGTTTGCCCACTGACAAAGAAATGATCAGTCTATCATTTTAATGGTAGGTTTATTTGAACAGTGAGAGACAGAATAACAAAACAAAAATCCAGAAAAACGCATGTCAAAAATGTTATAAATTCATTTGCATTTTAATGAGGGAAATAAGTATTTGACCCCCTCTCAATCAGAAAGATTTCTGGCTCCCAGGTGTCTTTTATACAAGTAACGAGCTGAGATTAGGAGCACACTCTTAAAGGGAGTGCTCCTAATCTCAGTTTGTTACCTGTATAAAAGACACCTGTCCACAGAAGCAATCAATCAATCAGATTCCAAACTCTCCACCATGGCCAAGACCAAAGAGCTCTCCAAGGATGTCAGGGACAAGATTGTAGACCTACACAAGGCTGGAATGGGCTACAAGACCATCGCCAAGCAGCTTGGTGAGAAGGTGACAACAGTTGGTGCGACTATTTGCAAATGGAAGAAACACAAAAGAACTGTCAATCTTCCTCGGCCTGGGGCTCCATGCAAGATCTCACCTCGTGGAGTTGCAATGATCATGAGAACGGTGAGGAATCAGCCCAGAACTACACGGGAGGATCTTGTCAATGATCTCAAGGCAGCTGGGACCATAGTCACCAAGAAAACAATTGGTAACACACTACGCTGTGAAAGACTGAAATCCTGCAGTGCCCGCAAGGTCCCCCTGCTCAAGAAAGCACATAAACATGCCCGTCTGAAGTTTGCCAATTAACATCTGAATGATTCAGAGGAGAACTGGGTGAAAGTGTTGTGGTCAGATGAGACCAAAATGGAGCTCTTTGGCATCAACTCAACTCGTCGTGTTTGGAGGAGGAGGAATGCTGCCTATGACCCCAAGAACACCATCCCCACCGTCAAACATGGAGGTGGAAAAATTATGCTTTGGGGGTGTTTTTCTGCTAAGGGGACAGGACAACTTCACCGCATCAAAGGGACGATGGACGGGGCCATGTACCGTCAAATCTTGGGTGAGAACCTCCTTCCCTCAGCCAGGGCATTGAAAATGGGTCGTGGATGGGTATTCCAGCATGACAATGACCCAAAACACACAGCCAAGGCAACAATGGAGTGGCTCAAGAAGAAGCACATTAAGGTCCTGGAGTGGCCTAGCCAGTCTCCAGACCTTAATCCCATAGAAAATCTGTGGAGGGAGCTGAAGGTTCGAGTTGCCAAACGTCAGCCTCGAAACCTTAATGACTTGGAGAAGATCTGCAAAGAGGAGTGGGACAAAATCCCTCCTGAGATGTGTGCAAACCTGGTGGCCAACTACAAGAAACGTCAGACCTCAGTGATTGCCAACAAGGGTTTTGCCACCAAGTACTAAGTAATGTTTTGCAGAGGGGTCAAATAATTATTTCCCTCATTAAAATGCACATCAATTTATAAAATGTTTGTCATGCGTTTTTCTGGATTTTTGTTGTTGTTATTCTGTCTCTCACTGTTCAAATAAACCTACCATTAAAATTATACTGATAATTTCTTTGTCAGTGGGCAAACGTACAAAATCAGCAGGGGATCAAATACTTTTTTCCCCTCACTGTATATCGTAATGGATGTCGGTTGAACACAAATACATCCAGTTTAGTTTGGCATCAATATATTTGATGTAGCCTACGATTGTGTGTGTGTAATGTGTTCGTATGCGATCACATGGAGCCAAGCTGAACTTGGAGAAATGGGTCCGTAGTGAGTTTGAGGGAAAGTCATTTGCAAGAAGCTGTGTCAAGAGTAAAGTTTGTCTTGACAGATGTGACTTTTTTTTAATGCAAAATGTCTACAAGGTACAGTAAAGAAAGTAGTCTTAAAAAAGTTGCATAGTCTATCAAATAGGAAAATAAAGAAGAATAGAAGCTACATTAAGTAGATAGGTTTTTAAGGTAATATGTTACACCTTATGATATGGTAGTAATAATGTGTTGTGATGTACTGGGGGATTTTCTGCACTGCTGTACATTTCCATCTTCTAGTGCAGTTCTATTTCTTTCTTTCGGTCCTAGGCGTGATGTGGATGAAGTAGACAGTATTGCGTGGGAACTGGTGAGAAGTTGTTTTTTCTCACCACCTCAGCTATTAGTTCTTAGAGGGAGATGAGGTTCTCTCAGGACTCACCGTCACATAAGACTTAGAGCAATTTATTTTTCTGGGTTCACGTCAAATCTGTTTCAGCGGGGGTTGGTGTTGGGCAACCTTCCAACTTCACAACCAACCACAACCGTGTATTACCTGTGAAAGGCAATTCACTACTTTTTGAAGTTTGTCAAGCCATATCATGGCAAAACCGCAGACTTTACATTTTCTTTTTTTTTATCTTACTCCAAAATGTCCCAACAGAAGTCAATTTACATTACACAAAGCCTGAATGTATTCTGTAATAAGTCATAGGGGCTGAAATGCTAGCAACATGAACACTTGAAGACCTCTGCTTAATCTCATTCTGTTGGAACCATTATACTTTTCATAATGTAGAAATAGCCTATCTCAATCTCCCTGAACACAGGCTGCCAATTCATACCCTATCGTATCATATTCATACTTTATAAATCACACTATTCAGACAAAAATGGCAGTGAGGAAGGTAGAGAAATATGGTAAAGTGACTAATATTTCCCATTTAGCTTTAATTCAGTAAATCAATGAGGATTGATCCCTTCTTAATTTTTGTATTGCTTGTATCTGTTCCCAGTCTCCTCCTGGCCTAGAAAGAACAAGTAAATAATCTGTTTTGCTGATTGCTCATTGCATTCTGTTTTGATCAGAGTTTTGAGTTTGAACCCTTGTATTGGTTACTGTCTCATTCTCTCCCCTTTGCCCACACTGCTCCCTGGCTCCAGGCCTCCTTTCCTCTCGCTGCCCCACTCAGCTCAGCTCACCAGCTCTGTGTGAATAGAGTCAATGTACAACTGAATGTCAACATGACCGGCTACAGTTAAGAGCTAACTATTGGCCTGTCTGTTCTTCCTCCCCTTTTTGTTCTGCAGAGGAGTGGCAAACCCTGCGCCAGGCCGGCAGGAGGAGGACCATGGCCCTGAGCAATGCCAATGGTGACCTCCTGCTCCTCAGCAATGGCAGCCTGCCACCCAGCGTCACTACGATGGCCACTGCCACCAGCGGCCCAGAGGCCAGTGCGAGCCTCAGCAGCACGGGAAGAGGGGACGTCACCGTTGTTTCCACACCCAGAACACAGCAGAGGCAGAGGCACCAACCAAGGCCAACACCACCGCACAAGGAGCCCCAGCAGAGATCCAGAGTGAGTCAGAATGGAGGCAACATCAAGCAGAACGGTTCCCTAAGGGCCCCTTCCTCTTCCTCCTCCTCCTCCTCCTCCTCACACCTCACAGACTCTCAAAGGTTGTCCAAGCTCCTGCCCTCCACCCTCTCCACAACCTCTTCCCCCTCTCCTCCTCCACTGTCTCCACCTCCCCCGTGCTGCCACCGCTGCCCATTCCACCCCCCCCTGTGCTGCCATGGCAACCAGCAGGAGTGCCACATCTTCCAGACCCCTGCCCTGCCCCTTCACCCGGGCTCCTGCTGCCTGCAGGCCTCTCCTCCATCCCTCTGTTTACACCATGGCTGGCAGGAGCACCTCCAGAACCAGCCCAATGTGGCTGGCCTCAGGTACGTGTGTGATGACTGTGTGTTTGTGTGTATGCGCCTGTTCATGCTTCTCTTTGCCACGGGGTGGCCTCAGGCATATCTCTATTACCCTGCCTCTCCAACAGAAGCCCTTTCATTGCGTTTCCCTGCTGAATGGGTGATGACTGAATGCTTCCTAACATATCACAGTATTTAGGGATAATGTTAGGGGTGCTATGTACTACCATTATGTACATGGCTGTTTAAGAATATGTACATGCATGTAACTGTAGCCTTGACTCTTTCCCCAGTTATGCCTCAGAGGAATGCGTTTTGAGTCAACTGTTTATGTAGACCAGGTTTTAAGTTCTGACCCTGTATTGAGAAATCGATACATAGTGTGATTATTTTCTCCTAACACATATCTAAATTCAGCTCTATAATCTTTCTGCCTGCCTGTTGACCCATTCCTGATTGTTCTGCTGTGTGGAGGTCAAGGTGATTTCCTAGGGAGATAACCTGTGGTCCCAGGGGTGCCAACCCAGCAGATGCAGGGAGGAGGAGGGGTCAGCCAGCCAGACACCCAGGGACCACAATACCAGCCCCAGAGCCACCCCGTTTGCCCTCCCTGCACCCCCCAACCCCAATGAAAGAGAGCTTTGAGAGCCCCAGGGGCTGCAGGGCCGCTGTCCCTCCTCAGGCCCCAGCCCGTCCCGTCAAACCACAGGGACTGTCCCCCTGGCCTCTCCTGAGCCTCCCCTCGCTCATCGGCACTGAGGCTCTTCTAGGACAGGTGCTGATGGTTTCATGGTCTGGCTATCCTCTTTCCCAGGCAAACACAATACAGACAGTACCAACACACAGCTCAGCCAGACTAGATCATCTCTGAAAGTATGTCTGGCCGGGGTCAGAGGTTTCCTTCGTGCGGCATCTCCCTGTTGTCATGACTCAAATAACTTTGCGTAATTTAACCCCTGTAACTGCCATTTCCTGCAATCTAGAACAAAAAAATACCCATTAGGGTGTGGTGCCTGGCCTTAAATTATAACAAATAAAGTAAAAAAAAAAAAAATATATATATATATATATATATATATATATGTACACATGCATACACAGTGCTGCAAGAAAATCTAAAAACCAGTTTTTTCTTTGTCATTATGGGGTATTGTGTGTAGATTGATTAGGGGGGAAAAAACGATTTAATCAATTTGAGATAAAGGCTGTAACGTAACAAGATGTGGAAAAAGTCAAGGGGTCTGAATACTTTCCGAATGCACTGTACGTACGTACGTACGTACGTACATACATACATAGATACAAACAAAAGTATGTGGACACCCCTTCAAATGAGTGTGTTCGGCTATTTCAGCCACACCCGTTGCTGACAGGTGTATAAAATCGAGCACACAGCCTGCAAGCTTCATAGACAAACATTGGCAGTAGAATGGCCTTACTGAACAGCTCAGTGACTTTCAACGTGGCACCGTCATAGGATGCCACCTTTCCAACAAGTCAGTTTGTTTAATTTCTGCCTTGCTAGAGCTGCCCGGTCAACTGTAAGTGCTGTTATTGTGAAGTGGAAACGTCTACGCGCAACAAGGGCTCAGCCGCAAAGTGGTAGGCCACACAAGCTCACAGAACGGGACCGCCGTGTGAAGAAGCGCGTAGTGCGTAAAAATCGTCTGTCCTCACTACCAAGTTCCAAACTGCCTCTGGAAGCAACGTCAGCACAATAACTGTTCGTCGGGAGCTTAATGAAATAGGTTTCCATGGCCGAGCAGCCACACACAAGCCTAAGATCATCATGCGCAATGCCAAGCGTTGGCTGTAGTGGTGTAAAGCTCGCCGCCATTGGACTCCAGAGCAGTGGAAACGCATTCTCTGGAGTGATGAATCACGTTTCACCATCTGACAGTCCGACGGACCAACCTGGGTTTGGCAGATGCCAGGAGAACTCTATCTGCCCAAATGTTTAGTGCCAACTGTAAAGTTTGGTGGAAGAGTAATAATGGTCTGGGGCTGTTTTTCATGGTTCGGACTACAGTGTACAATGACATTCTAGACGATTCCATTTAATGCTTTCCTTAGTCATTTACGTACTTTGTGTAGTTCTATATTTATCTCCAACTCCACAGCATACAAAATAAAAGATAAATATTGCAGATGTCATTATTTACTCACGTCAGCCCTTCTTTAGAATTCATTCTAGACGATTCTGTGCTTCCAACTTTGTGGAAACAGTTTGGGGAAGGCCCTTTCCTGTTTCAGCATGACAATGCCCCCGTGCACAAAGCGAGGTCCATACAGAAATGGTTTGTCGAGATCGGTGTGGAAGAACTTGACTGGCCTGCACATAGCCTGACCTCAACCCCATCGAACACCTTTGGGATGAATTGGAATGCCGACTGCGAGCTAGGCCTAATCGTCCAACATCCGTGCTCGACCTCACTAATGCTCTTATGGCAGAATAGAAGTTCCAACAGCAATGTTCCAACATCTAGTGGAAAGCCTTCCCAGAAAAGTGGAGACTGTTATAGCAGCAAAAGGGGGACCAACTCCATATTAATGGCCATGAATTTGGAATGAGATGTTCGACTAGCAGGTATCCACATACTTTTGGTAATCTATCTATCTATCGATCGATTGAACTGGAAGCATAGAAATGACGCATATAGAACAGATCTACCGCTTCTTAGACTTGCTTTCAATGAGAATGACAGATCTATAACTCACATTTCTATGTGAATTTGGTATGGTGGCCCAAAAAAGTGACAATTGCAGCTTTAATTGTACATAGTGGCGCAGCCAGTCCACAAGGTGGTGCAGCGCCACTCTTACATTCTTAGGGGAGAACCTTGTCACATTTGTTGGCAAATATTATTTTAAGCGAGAAGCATTTAGCAAGTCGTTTTCCCCACCTTCCTGCAAACCACAGACTGAACTATATTTCATACTAGAACCATTTAATGCTATCCTTAATCATTTACGTACTTTGTGTAGTTCTATATTTATCTCCACAGCATACAAAATAAAAGGTAAATATTGCAGATGTCATTATTTACTCATGTCAGCTCTTATTTATGGTAGCAAGTAGTTGCAGAGAGGTTAATTTGTGTAAGACTATATTTTTGCTTACATCTTTTCGCATGGAAATTTCCTACCGAATTGAGTTAGATCCCTGTAACTTAATTAAAGAGAGTTGCTCTGTGGCTGTGAGAGATTAGGTATATACTCGTATCGGGTGCCGGGGTGCCCACAGCAAACTCCATCCACGCACATTATGCAGTTGGGTGGGCAAGGTGTGTCAAAGGATATCATTGCAGCCATTTGGATGCATTCACTGGCATCTGTGGCTTTCGTTTATTTATTTATTTTTTAATGTCTGAATAAAGAGCTGATGTTCCTCAGCCACTGTATTTAGTAAACAGGTCCCTCTTGTTCTGTGATGACAGGTTTGAATTACAGGCTGACGTTGAGTTGCTCTCAGTTCCGATCCCCTGTACAGTGGTATTGTGTCTCCAGAGAGATTGGAGATAGAAGGATAAGCCTGGCTGTCTGGTACACAGTCTCCAAGTCCCTGGCTGGCCCCAGACGTTCAGGGCTTTGAGCCTCTCCTTTTACCTACGTGTTGGAGCACAGTGCGCCAAAGAATCCCTCCTCGCATGGAGGGAGAGGCTTTTTAATGCCTCTAATTTGAGGGTACGCCGTCAGACAAGATTGTGTCAAATATCAATTTGATCTCAAAGGCTGTGATCCGTGAGATTAGGCAGGGGATTACGTGTATGATTACAGCACTTGGCCGTTACGCCCTGCTTTATAGAGACCCCCTCTTCCCCCTCCCGATAAGGTTGCACTGGAGTTCCTTCCTCAGGCATTTCAGGCCTTTGTGTGTGTCCAAGAACTTAACATTTAGGAACTACAGTATATAACTCCTGTTGAGATACATACAAAGTATTAATCCACCCATTGTAAGATTATAGTCTCTCTCTGTGTGTGTGTGTGTTTTACTCTGAGAAGGAAATGGACTTATCCTTGAATGTAATGACCAACATCCACTATAATGGAAAAGGCCAGCTCAGCAGATCTATTGAGTAGAGGAAGGATCTATCTGTCTGGGTCTGTGAAATCCATTAAGATTGTCAGTGTTTGAATGGTAGGATTATCCTTCATGGTGACTTAGTATTTTTATGATTTGAGGATCAGGGGGAAACAGTCAGAGCAGAGGATGAGTCTGAGTCTGTGAACTTGAAGTCAGTCAGTCAGGCGTTTGACTGCAGTTAGCCTCATCTCAATAGGTTTTCAGGCGTTGGTTTCTTCCAAGCCTGTAATTGTCTTGATAGAACACTCTCAAGGCACCTTTTTTAGCTCCTGCTGCACTCCCAGAGAGAGAGCGAGAGAGCTGCATCTACCTGTGCTGCCGAGACTGGCCTGACCTTCCAAGGCTGAACAATCCCCAAAGAGCCCGCTGACACTGAACTATCCAGGATCATGTCATGATTGTAACCTCTCCCTTCACACTCCACTCACCCAGGGAGGAGTTTTGCCCATGCGTTGCTTCCTGCTACATTCCTGTTATTGTAGCGGCCACAAGTTTGGATTGGTTTCATGCTTTCTCAGATAGCAGGTATATTTTTATAATCTCATGCGTGTTTGATTTTATACCAAGTACCATTTTTTGACTGGAGGCAGGTGGTTTCCATGGTGTGCAGGAAAACGTATAAAAACATGACACCTCATTCGGCCGGAATGTTTCATCATATTGGATGAATTTAAGAATTCCTATCAGTTGAATACGCGATTATGACTAGGGGCCGTATACGGAAACATATGCACAAAAGCCTTAATATGAATGCATAGACCCTCTCGTTTCTGAGAACTCCCTTAGGTTTCCCTTAAATGTTTTATATTTTATCACGCCTCAGATATCTTTCCCCCAGTGAGAGATCTCTTTTGGAGACATTAACTAATATACCAAGCTGTCTGACAGCTGCAAGCCCAGACTGGCCAGGCGGCCTGAAAATGATCTTTGTGCTATGGATTTCAGGGTGTCAGTTTGACAAGGCTTTGCACATTATCAAGAATAACAACTGTTTGCTATGCCTGCTGCGGTCTGAGGGGGCCTGGAGTCCTGGACCTCGATGTGAACCCTTGTGAATTAGCGGCAGGGCTCTTCACGCTACCGTTTTATCCATTTGGCCCATTAACCACTATACAGAGACATCCATCACGCCCAGCCTCAGCCCTGACTGATGAAGAAACACCCTGGTGTCTCTGGGGAGATCAGGGGAAAGGAGAGATGAGTACCTCCTGCCCTAGAAAGACACAAAATATGAGGGAAGGAGGGAGGGAACCACCCAGTTTGCTTCCAGAGCCTTCTGTTGGCTTCTTAGAACAGGTCTGCATCTATGTGGAGTGATTTAAGCACAGGCAGTAGCCTAGTACACCACAGCACACCCTCCATCCAGTACAGCTGACTCCCGTACCTGCACGGATGGATAATAACAGAGGGGTGAGCTCCCAGTGCCCCTGCTCCAGACCGCGCTCCAGTCCATGCTCTATACTGTATGGCCCCTGAGCATGAGACAAAGCAAAGCCCATAAAGGTACCCACCCAAGCTCAAACAGCCATACTATCCTATAAACCATGATCAAAGCTGGATCTGAACAGCACTCTGTCATAACTTCAAATTAGCTTGCTCTCTTTTTTCTTTCTTCTTCTGGGGAGCAGTTAGTGAGGCTTCACACTTACACTCTGCTCCTTGGGGGATTAGGCCTAATGGAAGATTTGATGAGATGTGTAATGCTTTATAAATAGTTACTAGCATGTAATATGATCCCTTATAATGCCCTTTTAACAGCCTGTCCAAATGGTATATAAGTTGAAGGCACAATCGCTCAATCATGTACGTACAACATTGCATGGTATATTTAGTTTATAATGGACCTTCATCTAGATGGTTCCAATAGGTACACTGTGCTACAGTGACTCCCCTATATTTGTTCTCATAGTAGTTCAAAACCAGTCTTGAGAATACACTGTATTATTCTTAATGGATTTCAATTAATATTCACACATTTACATAACAATGCATGCAGCTTGGTGTACTAACGTCATTCTGATATACTGTAGATGTGAGGGTTCTTATGAATCACTTAGTTTCTCCAGCCTCTACGCACTTGGTGAACTTAGCTAATGGTTGGAATTTTCCAGCTCGGCCGCCCCCCCCCCATCCTCACACTCACTCTCTCAGCTCAGGGAGGACAGGTCAGACTTCATTACTGGCCTCTAACTGACGCTAGCCCCAACAGCCGCTGGCCCTGGTCTGCTACTCACCAGACAGCTGTGTCACCAGACACCTCCAAGATGTTACAGCGCCGTCTTGCCAAACCCTCTTTGTCAAGAGCTGCGGTTAGAGCTGGAGAGCCTTCAGACACTGTGGCCCTAGATGGGCATTGAACATAGATAGAATAGTATAAAGAGGAGGTGGGAGGGATGAAAATGTATCTCTTTACTCCAAAGATACCCTGATATCTCTGTGAGATCAGTCCCAGGACAACAAACAGGGGCATGCTGGATCAAAGAGACCCAGGCAGGAGCTAGAGGCACTGCTGTGCTTGACACTGGATATTGTAGGTAAACAAAGAGGAATATGTGATGCTGGGCTTTTTACATGAGTTTACCTTTCTGTCTAGACATGTATGCACCTTATCACATAAGTCTTAATGGAGGGCGTACCTTGAAATTGGGCCAAATTATGAGGGGTAGGTTTACTCTCAAAATGGCCTCGACTACAGGCAGGGAACTCTAGCCTGGTTACCATTATGTTTAACTGCTCTAGCCAGCATGACAACTGCAACAGAGTTGGCTAAAGCAGCAACAGTGTGTCAACTAGGGGTGGGCAGCTCATGTCAATCATGCGAAACTTCCAGATCTCCTTACCAGGCAGCTTCCAGGACTTAATAAGTTGTTGGACATCTTCATAAAGGCACTGGGAGAGGAGTTGATGGGTCAGCACAGCTGCTTGCCGTTGGTTCCGCTCCTTGACTTTGTGCAGTAGAGGAATCCTGGTCATGTAAGCAGCAAATGGTAACACAGCCTCCCTTCTTGCAGAAGCCCGGTCCTCAAGGTCTGAATGCGGATGTTGGATGTGATGTGTTGGGGCTGGTTTGGGCTGGCAGCTGAAAGCCATTGGTTCCACTGCTGGAGGTCTCATGGAGCTTCTTGTACTGAATGTGTTCAGCAATAGAGACTTTGACCTGTTGTTCTGCTACAGGAATAGGCCAACATGCAACACACTCATCTAGTACTGCCTCCGTTAAATCTGTGTCAAGACTGACATGAAGTCCATCATCATGACTATGAAATTAAAAGTTTTGGTATTGTTGGTATATTGTAGGAATTATTGCTAAAACCGGTTAAACTGCTCATCATGGATCTAGCCTATTGAGCAAATAACTTATGAACACCAAAAGCGACTATGTTAATAATTCATGACACATTGACATACTTATTGGCATAATGACTTATCGGTATCGTTAATTCGCCCTGCTCGGCCTAGCTGACAAGGTCTGTTGGTTAGCTCAGTGCAGGGTTGGTGATGGCATGTGCAATACCCATACATTCCTTGGGGTTGGTTCTGAAGCCCCTGGACTCAGGGGGTTAAGCTGGTTGCTATAAAGGGAGCGAGGTCACAGGATAATAAAGACATCTCTTGGACAGCTTGTAACTATTGGCTACAGTGTTGAAATCTGGCCTGTAAGCCTGGAATTTGTATACGCCCATATTTCAATCCCAAGAATGTGGAGATGGCAGGTGTGACCTCCAGACCGGATGCACTGGTGGATGTAGCTGTCCATGTCCCTTCTACACACACACACAAACAAAGAAACTGCGCGTAGACTCATTATACAGCAATAATCTCTTATTCAGACTCACATTTTCTCATATACAGTGAGGGAAAAAGGTATTTGATCCCCTGCTGATTTCGTACGTTTGCCCACTGACGAAGACATGATCAGTCTATAATTTTAATGGTAGGTTTATTTGAACAGTGAGAGACAGATTAACAACAAAAAAATCCAGAAAAACGCATGTCAAAAATGTTATGAATTGATTTGCATTTTAATTAGGGAAATAAGTATTTGACCCCTCTGCAAAACATGACTTAGTACTTGGTGGAAAAACCCTGGTTGGCAATCACAGAGGTCAGACGTTTCTTGTAGTTGGCCACCAGGTTTGCACACATCTCAGGAGGGATTTTGTTCCACTCCTCTTTGCATATCTTCTCCAAGTCATTAAGGTTTCGAGGCTGACGTTTGGCAACTCGAACCTTCAGCTCCCTACACAGATTTTCTATGTGATTAAGGTCTGGAGACAGGCTAGGCCACTCCAGGACCTTAATGTGCTTCTTCTTGAGCCACTCCTTTGTTGCCTTGGCTGTGTGTTTTGGGTCATTGTCATGCTGGAATACCCATCCACGACCCATTTTCAATGCCCTGGCTGAGGGAAGGAGGTTCTCACCCAAGATTTGACAGTACATGGCCCCGTCCATCGTCCCTTTGATGCGGTGAAGTTGTCCTGTCCCCTTAGCAGAAAAACACCCCCAAAGCATAATGTTTCCACCTCCACGTTTGACGGTGGGGATGGTGTTCTTGGGGTCATAGGCAGCATTCCTCCTCCTCCAAACACGGCGAGTTGAGTTGATGCCAAAGAGCTCCATTTTGGTCTCATCTGACCACAACACTTTCACCCAGTTCTCCTCTGAATCATTCAGATGTTCATTGGCAAACTTCAGACGGCCCTGTATATGTGCTTTCTTGAGCAGGGGAACCTTGCGGGCGCTGCAGGATTTCAGTCCTTCACGGCGTAGTGTGTTACCAATTGTTTTCTTGGTGACTATGGTCCCAGCTGCCTTGAGATCATTGACAAGATCCTCCCGTGTAGTTCTGGGCTGATTCCTCACCGTTCTCATGATCATTGCAACTCCACGAGGTGAGATCTTGCATGGAGCCCCAGGCCGAGAGAGATTGACAGGTCTTTTGTGTTTCTTCTATTTGCGAATAATCGCACCAACTGTTGTCACCTTCTCACCAAGCTGCTTGGTGATGGTTTTGTAGCCCATTCCAGCCTTGTGTAGGTCTACAATCTTGTCCCTGACATCCTTGGAGAGGTCTTTGGTCTTGGCCATGGTGGAAAGTTTGGAATCTGATTGATTGATTGCTTCTGTGGACAGGTGTCTTTTATACAGGTAACAAGCTGAGATTAGGAGCACTTCCTTTAAGAGTGTGCTCCTAATCTCAGCTCGTTACCTGTATAAAAGACACCTGGGAGCCAGAAATCTTTCTGATTGAGAGGGGGTCAAATACTTATTTCCCTCATTAAAATGCAAATCAATTTATAAAATGTTTGACATGCGTTGTTCTGGATTTTGTTGTTGTTATTCTGTCTCTCACTGTTCAAATAAACCTACCATTAAAGTTATAGACTGATCATATCTTTGTCAGTGGGCAAACGTACAAAATCAGCAGGGGATCAAATACTTTTTTCCCTCACTGTACACTTGCATCCAGAGGCCTTGTTCTCTCCCCAAAATAACTATCAGAGACCTGTGCTGTGTAGATAGCTTGTAAATACAGTTTTACGAGCTTGTAAGAAGTAATACTGTACCTCATAAATCTATTTAAGGTATACCGTGGATGTTGATGAGCCCTGACTTTGGTGGCTACTGCCTAATGATCAATACTTTTTTTAACTCAACATTTCACTACAGTATGTTATGGCTATGATATCGTGCTGATATTTGGATTTCACCCTCAAGCCACTCAAACAATTCCATAACTTGAACGAGACTAATTGTGTGCAGTGTTCCAGTGAGTTTTAATCACAGGAGCAAATAATTGAGAGTTGACAGTAATTGGTCTGACTTGAGCACTTCATGCAGCCCCTTATTACAGAAATGTATGCCGTGTCTGTTAGCAGTTTTCCCCCCTCAGCTCTGTGACCCCTGACCCCTCTCTCTCCTCCCTTCACGTCAACATGGCCATTGCGGCCTGACCCGGCAGCTGCTCCCAAGTTACTTTATTAATTAACCCAGTGATCCATAAACATTCCCCTTTCGGGTAAATAGAATAACATTTAGGAAGGGTAGCTGTTGTAAGTTTGTGGAAGAATTGTGGGGAGTTTGTTTGAAGGGGACTGGGATCAGAGGGGAGGAAACCTGACTCTGTGGGTTGTCATCCTGCTGGATTTAGAGCCTGTGATCATCAGTCAACAGATTTCTCCTCCCCACCCCAGCACCTCCTCCCTTCTCCTTTAGCGGGTGTTATTTCAAGGACATTAGTCTGCATTTCATCACATTACTACTTCCATTGACAGATTGGAAGAAAGAATTGAGACACAAATGCCAACTTTTTTTAAGAGAAAAATATTTTAAAGTTTGCTTCATGCTAAGAATATGCTGAAATACTATCGGAGGATTCTGACGTCTGTCGTAAATCCAAAGTATAGGGCTACCTCTGTTTTAGACATCTTCTTATTCGTCTGAAATGTGGTCATGGTTCGGAAAGTTGCAAATAGATCCAGAACAGATCTCGCAAATAAATAGGCAGCAGTGCTTTTTTTGATGGCTCCACGAGTAAAGATGTTTTATAAATCCAGTCCAACAATTTCCAATAACTCTCCTTCGTTCTGGGCCATATCTCCGTCCCGAATTCCGCCGTTCAAAGCCCGTACATGGAAACTATTGGACAGCATAGAATAGCAATAAATTAGGTAGGGGGAATTTGTTTTTCACTAGGCATTGTTAGTATCAGGCTCTCACATTTTAAAACGTGAATAACTGGCTAGTTGAATGCAAAAAAATTGCAAAGAGCTTCACTCCAAGTTGGTAGGGTTGATGGGACTCACCTTGTGTCTACAATATGCAGATTGTTCAAAGCCTATGCCATACAACATCTGGTTGTCATATTAACATGTCCAGCTAACTTTAAAGGGGATTTACTGCTTCCCCAGAAGTTACCCTGTGGTGAAAAATTCCTGCCAATACCTTTTGTTCCTCTGTGCCTCACGGTGCCATGGCAACCACTAATTATAGCATTCCATGGATTCCCTTTTAAAGGGGAGAAGGAGGAAAAATACAACCACCTCTTGGCACCTTGGCCATATTGCTCCAATCACGCTGAAATATCCTGTGTGTGTGCACTGTGATTGGCTAATGCAGAGAATCGTCTGAGCTCACTTCCCTGTTTGGAATACTGATTTCCTTGTTTACGTTTCTTGTGTAATCTTACCTAGTCCCTGATGTGGGCTGTGAAGCTTGTGCCAAATTGTGACCTTGGTAGTGCAATACTCATGCAGGTTGCAGTGATTAGAATGAGGATGAACATGTCAAGGTTGCAGTATAAAGCAATGACGTATATCGTCCCTAGGACATAATGTTAGGACAGTCTGTCCACAGTTCTACAGATTTCATAGCCACCGGCCTGTGTGTATGTGATCATGTGAGTCTGTTACTGTCATTCGCTGTCAGTTTGACCATTCAGAGTATACACTGAGTGTACAAAACATTAGGAACACCTCCCTAATATTGAGTGTCACTCCCTTTTGCCCTCAGAACAGCCTCAATTCGTCGGTGCATGGACTCTACAAGGTGTCGAAGGTGTTCCACAGTGATGCTGGCCCATGTTGAATCCAATGCTTCCCACAGTTGTGTCTAGTTGACTGGGAAACTGTTGAGTGTGAAAAACCCAGCAGCGTTGCAGTTCTTGACACTACTACCATACCTCGTTCAAAGGCACTTACATTTTTTGTCTTGCCCATTCACCCTCTGAATGGCACACATACACAATCCATGACTAAATTGTCTCAAGGCTTAAAAATCCTTCTTAAACCTGTCTCCTCCCCTTCAGCTACACTGATTTTGTCACGGAATCAGCCGAGGCTGCTCCTCCTCCTTGCTCGGGCAGGCTTCGGCATTCGTCGTCCCCGTAGTACTAGCTGCTACCGATCTATGTTTCTGTGTTTGACTTGTTTTGTCTTGATTGTGTACACCTGTTTCCTATTATGTTGTATTGTATTCCCTATTTAACACTCTGTCGTTCATTGTGTGTTGTGTGTGTGATTGTTCTCGTCATTTTCGGCAGTTGCTATTGTGCGGGTATTCTCCTCCCTGTTTGGAGGTTGTTTTGTACTCTGGTTACTTTGTTAGTAAAAGTACGTTTCCAGTAGCTCGGTGTCCTGCGTTTGACTTCGCCTACCGCATTCACGTCGCACTTTGACAGATTTTAAGTGGATTTAACAATTGACATCAATACGGTATCATAGCTTTCACCTGGATTCACCTGGTCATGTTCCTAATGTTTTGTACACTCAGTGTATATGGCATGTGAAGACATCTCCACCTAGGGCTGGGCGGTTGACTGCATTTTACGATATACCAGTATTGATGCACAGACCGGTTTGGGTTTTTACTTTACCTTCTATAACGGTATTTGAATGTTTGGTTTGTTAAAATGTGATACGCTGTTTGTAACGTCAATTTTTATAGTTTACTTCACTACTTCAGTCCTCTCTCTTAGCTCTCTCTCCATGGCGCTTTCCACACACACCTAGCCCCGCCCCGTCACTTGTCTTGTCTTAGCAAGTTGGGGCTAAATCTTGCTAGCCACTAATTGTTAGCCACTAATGCTAATCGCTAGCTAATAAATGTACTGAGTCAGAGCAAACGTAATTGGCTAAACAGCCTAAATGAGCATGTTGTTTGTGCAACAGCATCTTCTAAATCAAAGTGGAATATGCAAAGTAAGAACATGTTAGCTACATGAAGTAGCTAAGAGAACATTAAATGTAGCCAAAGATTATAGGGTCTCCTAGGAAACACTTGTCAACACTTTGCTTCCTACCGTGTCACAATAACTCCTCCCTGGCTGTCACGCCATGACAGAGTTCGCTAGTTGGTTTGGTCAGGGTGTGAGTATCTATGTAATGTGTATATCTATGTGTAGATCTAGTATGTTTAGATCTATGTTGGCCGGGTGTGGTTCCCACTCAGAGGCAGCTGTCGATCGTTGTCTCTGATTGGGGATCATACATAGGTAGCCATTTTGCCTATCTATGTTGTGGGATCTTAACTCTTGTTTGGCTTGTTTGTGTGTAGCCATTGTGAGCTTCACGTTACGTTACTTTTGTTGTTTTGTCGTGTGTTAACTTAGTGAATAAACATGTATGCATTCCACGCTGCACCTTGGTCCAATCCTGTACTCAACGAACGTGACACTGGCATTTTCATTAATTGTCATGTCAAACAACACTGTATTCAAAGTGCCCACTATTGTACAGTGCCTTCGGAAAGTATTTAGACCCCTTGACTTTTTCCACATTATGTTACGTTACAGCCTTATTCTAAAATTGATTAAATTGTTTTTTCCCCACGTATCAATCTACACACAATACCCCATAATTTCAAAGCAAAAACAGATTTGTATACATTTTTGCTAATGTATCATTTTAAAAACCCGGAAATATCACATTTACATAAGTATTCAGACACTTTACTCAGTACTTTCTTGAAGCACCTTTGGCAGCGACTAAAGCTTTGAGTCTTCTTGGGTATAACGCTACAAGCTTGGCACACCTGTATTTGGGGAGTTTCTCCCATTCTTCTCTGCAGATCCTCTCAAGCTCTGTCAGGTTAGATGGGGAGCGTTGCTGCACAGCTATTTTCAGGTCTCTCCAGAGATGTTCGATCGGGTCCAAGTCCAGGCTCTGGCTGGGACCACTCAAGGACATTCTGAGACTTGTCCTGAAGCCACTCCTGCGTTGTCTTGGCTGTGTGCTTAGGGTCGTTGTCCTGTTGTAAGGTGAACCTTTGCGCCAGTCTGAGGTCCTGAGTGCTCTGGAGCAGGTTTTCATCAAGATTCTCTCTGTACTTTGCTCCATTCATCTTTCCCTCGATCCTGACAGTCCCTGCCGCTGAAAAACATCCCCACAGCATGATGCTGCCACCACCATGCTTCACCGTAGGGATGGTGCCAGGTTTCCTCCAGACGTGACGCTTGGCATTCAGGCCAAAGAGTTCAATCTTGATTTCATCAGACCAGAGAATCTTGTTTCTCATGGTCTGAGAGTCTTTAGGTGCCTTTTGGCAAACTGTCATGTCCCTTTTTACTGAGGAGTAGCTTCCGTCTACCATAAAGGCCTGATTGGTGGGGTGCTGCAGAGTTGGTTGTCCTTCTGGAAAGTTCTCCCATCTCCACAGAAGAACTCTAGAGCTCTGTCAGAGTGACCATCGGGTTCTTGGTCACCTCCCTGACCAAGGCCCTTCTCCCCCGATTTGTTCAGTTTGGCTGGGCGGCCAGCTCTACGAAGTGTCTTGGTGGTTCCAAACTTCTTCCATTTAAGAATGATTGAGGCCACTGTGTTCTTGGGGACCTTCAATGCTGCAGAAATGTTTTGGTACCCTTCCCCAGATCTGTGCCTCGACACAATCCTGTCTCGGAGCTCAACGGACAATTCCTTCGACCTCATGGCTTGGTTTTTGATATGACATGCACTGTCAACTCTGGGATCTTTTTATAGACAGTTGTGTGCCTTTCTAAATCATGTCCAATCAATTGAATTTACCACAGGTGTACTCCAATTAAGTTGTAGATACATCTCAAGGATGATCAATGGAAACAGGATACACCTGAGCTCAATTTTTAGTCTCATAGCAAAGGGTCTGAATACTTATGTAAATAAGGTATTTCTGTTTTATATCTTTAATACATTTGGAAAAAAAATGTAAACCAGTTTTCGCTTTGTCATTATGGGGTATTGTGTGTAGATTGCTGAGGATATATATATATATATTTTTAATCCATTTTAGAATAAGGCTGTAATGTAACAAAGTGGAAAAAGTCAAGGTGTTTGACTACTTTCCGAAGGCACTGTATTCTAACTATAGAATTAGAATAATCCGTTTATTTCCATGATTCCAAATGTTCACCCAAGTGTTTTGCTCTGAATCGCAAGTCAAATCGCATTTGCAAAATTTGGTTAAAAATAAGGCCTAGTATCAAGGCTCAGGATAAGACCCAGATGCAGACAGTTTGAAATAGCAAAATGTTTATTTACAAAAACGGGGCAGGCAAATGACAGGTCAAGGGCAGGCAGAGGTCAGTAATCCAGAGCAGAGTCTTAAAGGTACAGAAACGGCAAACAGGCTCAGGGTCAGGGCAGGCAGAATGGTCAAATCCGGGATAAACAGGGACTAGAGCAAATAAAACGCAGGTAAGCTTGATGAGACAAGACGAACTGGCAACAGACAAACAGAAAACACTGGTATACAGTGCCTTGCAAAAGTATTCATCCCCCTTGGCATTTTTCCTATTTTGTTGCATTACAACCTGTAATTTAAATGGATTTTTGTTTGGATTTCGTGTAATGGACATACACAAAATTGTCCAAATTGGTGAAGTGAAATGAAAAAAATTACTTGTTGAAAATAATTCTAAACAATAAATAACGGAAAAGTAGTGCATGCATATACACCCCCTTTGCTATGAAGCCCTAAATAAGATCTGGTGCAACCAATTACCTTCAGAAGTCACATAATTAGTTAAATAAAGTCCACCTGTGTGCAATGTAAGTGTCACATGATCTGTCACATGATCTCAGTGTGTATATATACACCTGTTCTGAAAGGCCCCAGTCTGCAACACCACTAAGCAAGGGGCACCACCAAGCAAGTGGCACCATGAAGACCAAGGAGCTCTCCAAACAGGTCAGGGACAAAGTTGTGGAGAAGTACAGATCAGGTTTGGGTTATAAAAAAATATCAGAAACTTTGAACATCCCACGGAGCACCATTTTAAATCCATTATTAAAAAATGGAAAGAATATGGCACCACAACAAACCTGCCAAGAGAGGGCCGCCCACCAAAACTCAAGGACCAGGCAAGGAGGGCATTAATCAGAGAGGCAACAGAGAAACCAAAGATAACCCTGAAGGAGATGCAAAGCTCCACAGTATCTGTCCATAGGACCACTTTAAGCCGTACACTCCACAGAGCTTGGGCTTTACGGAAGAGTGGCCAGAAAAAAGCAATTTGCCAAAAAAAAAAAATTGGCAAACACGTTTGGTATTCGCCAAAAGGCATGTGGGAGACTCCCCATATGGAATAAGGTACTCTGGTCAGATGAGACTAAAATTGAGCTTTTTGGCCATCAAGGAAAACGCTATGTCTGGCGCAATCTCAACACCTCTCATCACCCCGAGAACACCATCCCCACAGTGAAGCATGGTGATGGCAGCATCATGCTGTGGGGATGTTTTTCATCGGCAGGGACTGGGAAACTGGTCAGAATTGAAGGAATGATGGATGGCGCTAAATACAGGGAAATTCTTGAGGGAAACCTGTTTCAGTCTTCCAGAGATTTGAGACTGGAACGGAGGTTCACCTTCCAGCAGGACAATGACCCTGAGCATACTGCTAAAGCAACACACAAGTGGTTTAAGGGGAAACAGTTAAATGTCTTGGAATGGCCTAGTCAAAGCCCAGACCTCAATCCAATTGAGAATCTGTGATATGACTTAAAGATTGCGGTACACCAGCGGAACCCAACATCCAACTTGAAGGAGCTGGAGCAGTTTTGCCTTGAAGAATGATCAAATATCCCAGTGGCTAGATGTGCCAAGCTTATAGAGACATACCCCAAGAGACTTGCAGCTGTAATTGCTGCAAAAGGTGGCTCTACAAAGTATTGACTTTGGGGGGGTGAATAGTTATGCACGCTCAAGTTTTCTTGTTTGTTTCACAAAAATGTTTTGCATCTTCAAAGTGGTAGGCATGTTGTGTAAATCAAGTGATACAAACCCCCCAAAAATCAATTTTAATTCCAGGTTGTAAGGCAACAAAATAGGAAAAATGCCAAGAGGGGTGAATACTTTCGCAAGCCACTGTAAATACACAAGGGATAACGGGGACAAATGGGAGACACCTGGTGGGGGGTGGAGGCAGTATATAACAATCAGAATGGAGAAAGACACATTGAAATCACTTAGAATGTATGTGTTGCCACCCTAGGGTCACACACTACTCATGAAGCAAATTTAGAACTTTTATTATTCAAAAACCTAAAATACAGTCAAATTTTGTCATACCATAATTATTTGTTTAAATACCGTGATGATATTTTGGCTATATCACCCAGCCCTATCTCCGCCCCACCTCTTCCCTCCCTCCTCTCCCCCTGCCCTCACCCTTCTGGCCTTGCTCTTATCTGTCCTGGGCCCTGTGTGATCCGGTGGCCGTATCTGATTCCCTCTGACTCGTGCTTGCACTCTGCAGTCTGGAGGCTTCCCACTATTCTGGGAAGGTGCTGATGGAAAGTCCAAACAAATCCGGCGCAGCTGAAAGCTTAATTTGGCAACGGGGAAGCCCAGTGCTGATCCTCTCTGTCTGTGTTTATGGCACAAGAGAGATCGCACCAATGGGACTCTAGTCCTCTAAAACTCCTGAGGGTATGTACGTTTGAATAGAGCTAGTTGTTCCACACAAGGTGTGTGCTGCATTGCTGCTCAAAAACCTTTCATGAAGAAACATGTTCCCCCTGCACCGATGCTGAGGCAAATCTGGTTTTGATTGGATGTTGCTTTGACTTCTAAATGTAAATCTGATTTATCTCTCTTTTGTTTTTCAGCCCTGCAAGGCCTTTTCGGTTCCCCAAAAGGTAAGATCTGCCAAATATAATTATTTTTTGTGTGACAAAAGCTCTCCTTGAGTCCATTAATACCCTGCCGAGCTGTCATTCCTGTGTAGTGAATCATCACAGTTATCGATGTAAAAAGGGCTCACTGTGCCTGGAACCTGCTAACCACCTCCCATACTCCTCTACAAGACATGCCTTCCCCTGAGTTTCCCTCGAGTCAGAACACAGAATATACTTAAATATCTACATGACGATTTGACAAATTCAATAATGGCATTTTAATGAGCACCTTCTACTCTTTTTGATATTCTACTAGTGTATCCATGTACCCTTCTCTTTTCTGTTTGGTTATCAGTACATATAATATTCATATAGTTATAAAGCCATCAGATTTGTGTTTAATCAATACCTGACCTTAATCTTTAGCTATGCAGAGCTGATTGCTGATTGGCCAGTGGTGGTGCTGGGGGTGTGTACAGTCCTCATCGTGGTGTGTGCCCTGGTGGGTGTTCTGGTGCCAGACCTGCCAGACTTCTCAGACCCCTTACTGGTGAGTAGGCCATGCCAATCGAAGGAAGGCACAAAACTTTCTCCATAGAAAATACTGGACTTTATTTTGATCAAGATTGAAAACCTAGTGTTTCTGGCACACCAAAATCATTATATTGAGTGCATGTGAAGAGTCCAAGATGTTTAAGGTGTATTTCCTGGTGAACTAAAAAGATGTCCTCTGTTTGTCTGTTCCTTCAGGGATTTGAGCCACGAGGCACGGCCATAGGCCAGCGATTAGTCACATGGAATAACATGGTGAAAAACACAGGGTACAAAGCAACCCTGGCTAACTACCCATTCAAGTACGCCGACGAGCAGGCGAAAAGGTAACAAAGCCGAACTCACAGTTCCTGTCCATTTTATTTCATCCTTCTAACCCTTTAGTGACACATGTATTGATTCAAAATCCCTGATGAAGGGGGCTGATCAGGATCAGGTCTCAGGCCATGAGATGGAGTGATGGTTGCTGCTGACTGACAGAAACAGACAGAAGCAGACACACAAAATCTCAATCCCATCCTGCAAGTGGATCATTCCATGACTTATCCTGATCACTGGGGGGGGCTCCAGGGCCTGTCAACAGGACTCTGCATCATTCTGCCTCGGTCCCTCAGAGGATGTGTCCCTGAAACCCCTGCTCATCACTATGATCCGGCTATAATAATGATTATTAAAATAATGATTGCAATGTGATAGTGATCACTCCACTGATTTATTATATAATCACAGGCTTTGTAATCGCTTAAATGGGTCGGTCTAAAACCGTTTCCTTCATTTGTTTTAAGAATGACCCTTCAGTACTATCTTTGGTTAGCATGTGCAAATCTAAGAAATCACTGCTGTGTGGATGCTTTAAGTGGATTCAGTCTCATTCTGTCAGGTGGATATTCAGAATTGATAGGAAACTTAATTCTAATGTATGAAGTGTTAACAGTTAACAGTGCAATCACACCATTACTTTTTTATTTCAGTCACCAAGAGGACAGGTGGGCTGAAGATCACTTTGACAGAGATAAAAGACAAGCAGAATGGGACTTCAGCAAAGACAGTTTCTTCTGTGATGTTCCAGGTACAAACTCAACGTAACACTTCTCCTGTTTCAAGTGTTTATCTACTAAGTGTTTGACTGTGATTAAATGCTAACCAGAAGCTCTTAATGTATGTGCAGGTGACAGATACTCCAGATTAGTATTCACATCTGCAGAGGGGAAGAACCTTTGGAATATACAAGCAATTAAATCCATGTGCAATTTGGACAATACACGGGTAAGTGGAACAGCACTGTTGATGATGTGCCATAGCATTTACTCATGTCAAATTTTGCCATGTTAATGATTTTTAAATGCCTGAAATAAGCCCCCCATCATATTAGAAATTGTATGTGTGGAGTCTATGCTGCCTCAGGCTGGAACTACCCCAACTTCCTGATATATTGGCCTTGTCTCCTGTTATGGTCTCCTTGGGTCAATAGTTCTGCTCTGTTCTAGTTGTACTCTGTTCTTCTATCCTGTTGTATTGTGTTGTCCCCAGGTGCGCTCCCACCCTCAGTATTGGAGCCTGTGCCAGCGCACCACTGACGCCTCCTGCTGTCCCAGCTGGACCCTGGGAAACTACGTGGCTATCCTCACCAACAAGTCCTCCTGCCAGAAGATCACAGAGCGCGACGTGTCACACACCCTCAAGATCCTGCGCTCCTGCGCCAAGTACTACCACAACGGAACGCTGGGCCCCGACTGCTGGGACATGACCACACGTAGGAAGGACCAGTCCAAGTGCACCAACGTCCCACGCAAGTGCACCAAGTACAACGCCGTTTACCAGATCTTCCACTTCCTGGTGGACAAAGACTTCATGAGCCCAAAGAACACCGACTACCCTATCCCCGTCCTGAAACACGGCATGCTGTTCTCCCCCACAGAGAAAGGGGAGACCATGATGAACATTTATCTGGACAACTTTGAGAACTGGAACTGCTCGGACGGCGTCACCACCATCACAGGGATTGAGTTCGGTATCAAACACAACCTGTTCCAGGACTACCTACTGACGGATACCGTGTATCCGGCCATAGCCATAGTGATTGTGCTGGTTGTCATGTGTGTGTACACACGCTCTGTGTTCATCACCCTGATGACCATGATCGCCATCATCAGCTCCCTGATCGTGTCCTACTTCCTGTACCGTATGGTGTTCGACTTTGAATTCTTCCCCTTCATGAACCTCACAGCCCTCATCATCCTGGTGGGCATCGGGGCAGACGATGCCTTCGTCCTCTGTGACGTGTGGAACTACACCAAGTTCGACAAGCCCAATGCTGAGCTGTCGGAGACGGTTAGCATCACTCTGCAACACGCGGCCCTCTCCATGTTCGTCACCAGCTTTACCACGGCCGCCGCCTTCTACGCCAACTACGTTAGCAACATCACCGCAATCCGCTGTTTTGGCGTCTACGCCGGCACGGCCATCTTGGTTAACTACATACTGATGGTAACCTGGCTGCCAGCCGTGGTGGTGCTCCATGAGCGTTACCTGCCCAACATCTTCACCTGCTCTAAACCTCCCCCACAGCAGAGTGGGTTCTGCACCCGCACCCTCTGGGCCAACCTGTGCCAGAAGGCCAGCAAGTGCCTGTTCACCGTCTCCGAGGCCTCCCGGATCTTCTTTGAGAAGGTGCTGCCCTGTATCGTGATCAAGTTGCGCTACCTCTGGCTCTTCTGGTTCCTGGCCTTCACTGTGGGAGGGGCATACGTGGTGTGTGTCAACCCCAAGATGAAGCTGCCCTCCCTGGAGCTCTCGGAGTTCAAGGTGTTCCGCTCCTCCCACCCCTTTGAGCGTTATGACGCTGAGTACAAGAAACTGTTCATGTTTGAGAGGGTCCACCATGGGGAGGACCTGCACATGCCCATCACCATCATCTGGGGGGTCACCCCCGTGGACAACGGAGACCCCCTCAACCCTAAGAACAAAGGCAAGCTTATGCTGGACAACACCTTCAACATCGCCAGCCCAGCCTCCCAGCTGTGGATCCTCAACTTCTGCCAGAGGCTAAGGAACCAGAGCTTTGTGTTCCAGTCGGAGGAGCAGGACTTCACCAGCTGCTTCATTGAGACCTTTAAGCAGTGGATGGAGAACCGGGACTGTGAAGAGTCCTCGGTCTACCCTTGCTGCAGCCAGTCAACATTCCCCTACAAGCAGGACATCTTTGAGTTGTGTATCAAGAGGGCCATCATGGAGCTGGACCGCAGCACCAGCTTCCACCTGGACAGTAAAACCCCCGGGCCTCGCTTCGACATCAACGACACCATCCGGGCCATTGTCCTGGAGTTCCAGAGCACCTACCTGTTCACACTGGCCTACGAGAAGATGCACCAGTTCTACCACGAGGTGGACACCTGGATCCAGGAGGAGCTGAAGAACGCCCCGGCCGGGCTGAATTACGGCTGGTTTGTCAGCAACCTGGAGTTCTACGACCTGCAGGGCAGCCTATCGGACGGCACTCTCATCGCCATGGCGTTGTCCGTGGTGGTGGCCTTTGTGGTCATGCTCCTCACCACCTGGAACATCATCATCAGCCTCTACGCCATCCTCTCCATCGCTGGCACCATCTTCGTCACGGTGGGCTCGCTGGTTCTGCTGGGCTGGGAGCTCAACGTGCTGGAGTCAGTCACCATCTCAGTGGCGGTGGGTCTGTCGGTGGACTTCGCAGTGCACTATGGAGTCGCTTATCGCCTCGCCCCTGACCCTGACCGTGAGGGGAAAGTCGTCTTCTCCCTCGGCCGGATGGGTTCTGCTATTGCCATGGCGGCACTCACCACGTTTGTCGCCGGGGCGATGATGATGCCATCCACGGTGCTGGCATACACCCAGCTGGGCACCTTCATGATGCTCATCATGTGCATAAGTTGGGCCTTCGCCACCTTCTTCTTCCAGTGCATGTGCCGTTGCCTGGGCCCCCAGGGCACCTGCGGACAGATCCCCCTGCCCAAGAGGTTTCAGTGCCAGGCTTTCAAAGAGGGCACCACCAACATCCCCTCGCCCCAGGGCAAGCATGGCACCAAGTACCAACTGGACAGTCGAGGAGGGGAGGTGGAGCATGAGCATTACGAGCTGGAATCATTAACTTCAAACCCTAGGAATGAGGAGAAACCTGCAGAGGAACAGGAGGTGTGCACCCAGCTTTATAATGGAATAGCCCCCCACCCTGCCCTCTGCACACACATCCCCTTTAAGAGCAAGGCAGAGCCCGGCAGAGGGCCCTGCTCTGAAAATGGACTGGGCATACTGGCCACCAACCCCACATCCAAATGCCAGTACTCTCATAACACAACCTGCACATGTGGGGAACCCCCTCCTCCTCAGCAGTCTATGGGTATGCAGTGGACCCCCCACCCATGCACTCAAACAACCCAGGACTCCCCATGCCCCACTCCTCAGTTCCCCCTCACAGGCAGCCATGCCAACAAAGGCCAGAACCTCCTGTCTGCTCTGGATGCAGTCTACAAACCCATAGATTGCCGTATGCACTATGTACACTGTCCCCCAGCTCACTTCCACAACTGCACCCCGGGCAGGGTGCCCAGACAGGGCCCTCACAGCTGCCACCTCAGAAACTACTGTGTTCACACTGTCCCCCTCCTGGGTGGCCTCCCCAGGGACCAGAGCTCTGCCCCAGACCCAGCTGGGCTGGAGGAGTCACACCGGACTGGAGGGTCATCTGGCCCTAGTGGCTGTCCTAACACCCCAGCCCAGACTTGGACTCAAGGTCCTCCTGCCTCCCCTCTGGGATGCACGTTAGCCCACACACACACAGGCTGCTGCAGAGCCAATCATGGAACACAGAGGGCGGGAGAGAGAACGGTAAACGCTCCAAGCGATCAGAGCGTGGATAATTATGTGTCCACCACAACGCAAAAGGGCACTTGTCATAAGATGCCCAGCAACCAGGAGAAGCTTGAAACTAGTACTACTCCCATCACACGGGAAGAAAGTGTTGAAAAGTGCAAACAGAACCCCAAAAAGGAGAGGGCTTCCTCAGCCTCTCCTAAGAAACTCTGTTTTAACAGAACTTTGAAAGTAAAGTGCAATTCTGTCGAGTTTAATGTGCCAAAAGCTGAAGCCAGTGTGCCTGCTCTTGCAATAAATTCAAAACCCTCATCTGAAAGTTTATGTTGACAGCAAAGAGACTTATAAGAGAATTCTGAGATACTATATCTAAAGAGTAAACTTGTGTCATATCAAGCTATAATGTGCAGTGTCCCTGTGCAGTTAAAGTGCTTGGAATATTTCGTAGTCCCCTGTAGCTCAGTTGGTAGAGCATGGCGTTTGCAACGCCAGGGTTGTGGGTTCGTTTCCCACAGGGGGCCAGTATGAAAAATGTATGCACTCACTAACTGTAAGTCACTCTGGATAAGAGTGTCTGCTAAATGACTAAAATGTCAAAATAGACCAAGTGCCTCATGTCTTTCATCTAAAAGTATGGTCCTATCTGTTCTGTGATTACTGTATCTACTGTGCAGATAATACTGGTTTGATCAGTCAGATGTACTGTTTTTGAGTACACAGTAAATATGTGGTGTGTTTATGGAGCTCTAACATGTCTAAGGAAAGGTGAACCATTTACTTTATTCTTAGTAGACATCTTAGTAGACATCTGTTTCACATTGCCACATGCCCCTCGGTCCAATATGAAAGATGTAGTGAATGATTATAAAGTTATTTTAACACGATTGTCTGTTTTTTTCCACTGCTCCTACAGTATGAAATGAAAGTATCTCAAGGTTTTGTTCAAAGGGCATGGTTTGGAATAACAAATGGTACACCTGTTTCATTGTCTGTCTCCTGCTGGCGCCTTGAGAAGATTTGCTCTGTCTGGCCTGAGGCCACAGTGCTGTGCTGGGCTCTCATACATCACACGGACGTTTGATTTCTAATCTCCACTCCCCAAGAGCCTGAATCGCATTCCAAGCTGGTCATACACTGTAGGTTTATGAGACCTGCTGACGTCCTACAGCAGGGATCCTCAACTAGATTCAGCCGTGGGGCGATTTCTTTCTTGAGCGGATGGTAAGGGGGCCGGAACATAATTACAAATAATTTGTAGACTGCAAATTGACCGCAAGAAGCCCAGATATATTAGACTAAAACACAATCTCATACCTTGCTTACATTTGGATATAATCACGTCTCTATTATGCGTGGGAATACTTGGGAACAGATTTCCAAAAATAAGATCACTTGGAGCTGATTTTCTGGTGTGGGGGAGGGAATAAAACTATCTGCGTGCCAAATTCCCAGTTGCAGAACCCTGTTATAGACCATCCACACCCCTCATCCACACATGTAACTGTGAGAGTCATTTTCTAACAGTGACCACGGATGTATGTGAAAAGGGCATGAATAACAGTATAACACATATGGGTCCTATCATTTGATTTTGTAACATATCAATTACATGCTATTTTATTACCTTTCTCAGAATCTTTGGCAGTCCTTTGTTAACTCCATCCAATGAAAAGTATCCTATTCATTTACAAATTCCATTAATTTACGAATCCACAAGTCCTGTGTTTTATTTGCTGTTCTGGCTCCCACCATCCATCCCCCCTTCTAACAGGTTTCCCTGGTGGTCCAAGATCCCAGCCAAACCTTCTGCTACAGAGCAAGCATATACACCAGACCGGGCTCTGCAGGCAGTATGACTCACTACAGCACAGCATACAGATTTATAATTACACTTACAGTCTTGAATTAGTGTCAGATGCGCAGCTCTGAACTTGTATCGTAGGCTACCAGACGCCTGTAATTATCTGAGAGAGACACCAAGCTGGCACTGTAGCTCATCTCCCCTTAGTCTCTGACACCATCACCCTCTCAAAAACAAAGATCAGCAGCTACTCTTAACTTCGATCAGGGGTACAATAAAACTATGATATATTGTGAGTGAGGAGAAATTCCTTCAACGACTGCTAATTCCTCTCTAATTCCTCCCTTCACTCCCTCTCTCTTGCACACTTTCGCAAGGGTCAGACAGGAACTAGGCACGGGCGTTTATTAGCTCTAGTTCCAGCTAATACATATCCCTATCCCTGTTCAGCCTTGCCAATCACTGAGGGGTGCAGATGGGATTTTAGGTCACTCATAGGGGTGACTGTTCAAACCTCTCACCTCGCACTAGCTGGAAGCTTTTCAAAATGACATGTCTCCTGTGTAAGCTTGCCCTTGTTTACCTAGCCCCAATGTTTCTGCAGCCCTGACCCCTGACCTGAGGAATGGCACAGATACATCAGTATGTGCCTTTGACTGGGGAAGAAAGGCTGGCCACTTCTTCCCTTAGTGTGAACGTTCAATGCAAGGAGACGACTACAAGAAAGATACACTATATACACAAAAGTGTATAGTGGATACCCCTTCAAATGAGTGGATTTGGCTATTTCAGCCACACCTGTTGCTGACAGGTGTATAAAATCGAACACACAGCCATGCAATAGACAAACATTGGCAGTAGAATGGCCTTACTAAAGAGCTCAGTGACTTTCAATGTGGCACCGTCATAGGATGCCACCTTTCCAACAAGTCAGTTTGTAAAATTTCTGCCCTGCAAGAGCTGCTCCGGTCGACTGTATGTTCTGTTATTGTGAAGTGGAAACGTCTTAGGAGCAACAACGGCTCAGCCTCGAAGTGGAAGGCCACACAAGCTCACAGAACGGGACCGCCGGGTGCTAAAGCGGGTAGCGTGTAAAAATCAACTTTCCTCGGTTGCAACACTCACTACCGAGTACCAAACTGCCCCTGGAAGCAACATCAACACAATAACTGTTAGTCGGGAGCTTCATGAAATGGGTTTCCATGGCCGAGCAGCCGCACACAAGTCTAAGATCACCATGCGCAATGCCAAGCGTCGGCTGGAGTGGTGTAAAGCTACCCGCCATTAAACTCCGGAGCAGTGGAAATGTGTTCTCTGGAGTAATGAATCACGCTTCACCATCTGGCAGTCCAACGGACTAATCTGTGTTTGGCAGATGCCAGGAGAATGCTACCTGCCCCTAATGCATAGTGCTAACTTTAAAGTTTTGGGGAGGAGGAATAATGGTCTGGGGCAGTTTTTCATGGTTTGGTCTAGGCCCCTTAGTTCCAGTGAACGTAAATCTTAACGCTACAGCATACAATGACATTCTAGACAATTCTGTGCTTCCAACTTTGTGGCAACAGTTTGGGGCATGACAATGCCTCTGTGCACAAAGCAAGGTCCATACAGAAATGGTTTGTAGAGATCGGTGTGGAAGAACTTGACTGGCATGCACAGAACCCTGACCTCAACCCCATCGAACATCTTTGGGATGAATTGGAACGCTGACTGCGAGCCAGGCCTAATCTCCCAACATCAGTGCCCGACCTCACTAATCCTCTTGTGGCTGAATGGAAGCAAGTCCGCACAGCAATGTTCCAACATCTAGTGGAAAGCCTTCCCAGAAGAGTGTGGTTATAGCAGCAAAGGGGGGACCAACTCCATATTAATGCCCATGATTTTGGAATGAGATGTTCGACGAGCAGGTGTCCACATACTTTTTGTCATTTAGTGTACATGGGACAAATTGAAACACTTGTCTCAGACGGTTAACTGAAGCACTCTGATGATCTTTGCCTGAGAAATTACATTGTAAGCGGGTGAGACACCTCCTCATATCTAAGAAAGAAGACCTTCAGTCGACTCTATATCATGAAGGGCTAGCCGCTAGTCTGTGTACTCTGTATTTTAGGCAGAGAATGATGTGTGGTAACCTACAGGTAAGTACCAAAATAATGGAAACACTTGAGTAAATGAGGGATACAAAGTATATTGAAAGCAGGTTCTTCCACACAGGTGTGGTTCCTGAGTTAATTAAAGATGCATTATGCAGAAATTGTCCACACCATTTGCTTGTTGCTAAAATTCTAGTAGTTTGCCTAATTTCAGTTTGTGGCAAAACAAGCAAGTATAGTAAAAATGTTTTCCACCCCCATGAACAAAACACAAAATTATGGAATATCTTGTGGAAGAATGGTGTCGCATCTCTCCAATAGAGTTAGAATCTATGCCAAGGTGCATTGAAGCTGTTCTGTCTCTTGATGGCCCCACGCCCTATTAAAACACTTTATGTTGGGGTTTCCTTTATTTTGACAGTTACCTGTATATTGCCATGAGTTGGGTTGATTTAACCTGGTATTTCATTGTGCACAGCACATTAAAATGAGTCTATGAAGCACAGCTGTACCCTGAAGTTCACCTTACATAGCTTATATAAACATCCTGGTATCACAAATTCACATATTTTCATAAAGTTGGCTGCTCTTGCAATCTCATAGGAAGCGTCTACCAGGGGAGATAACTTGAATAATGTAGAACTTCAAACTGTAGGTGAGATATGGCTAGAAAAACAGGTGACGGAGGCAGGAATAAGATCCTAATCCTTTATCCCTCTGCTCTCTCTCCCCACGCTGGCAAGGCCACACCAGTGTTCCAAGTATTTCCAAAGGGTCAGTTGGGAAATACGTCCTCTCTCCCCTTCCCTGCCTTTCCTTTCCTGTGTGGAATGTGAAGGCTGATCCTCTGGCGGAAACATAAGATCCGTCCCTGTACAAAACACTTACAGCCCGAGCCCCAGGGGTAGATGGGAAAAGCAGTTGTGCTCTATTAAAACTCCATGCTCTTGATGGCCACTCAGGCCTGTCTTTCTCTCCGAGGACAGACAGCACTCAAAGAAGTTGACTGCAGATGCTCCATCAACTCCTTTACTACCACAAGGCCTCTAGCCTGGGTTGGGTAGGCTACCAGTACCTAAATGTTTCTGCAGTCAGCAAGTACAGAAAACTGGAAGAAACAGGCCTCTGTGGCCTTAAATGGAAATGTTTCAATATTATTTTCCCTTATCCCCTTCTGAAATAGAGATACAAATCAAAGGTACCACTGTGCGTCACTACTAACCTCTGTTTTGATATGGGCAATTCCATGGTAACGGAATTATGCTGACTCCGATTTTTCACTTTCAAATAAACCAAAAACATTGATTTCAAAGTTTAACAAACCATAGAACTCTGTGCACAAGGACTACTTTTAACAGTTTCCACTGAAAATGTTACAAAAACACATTTACAGGAAGAACTGTGCAGACACAAAGTTTGGCAACAGAATAAATCTGAGGGAGATTTTACCGTAAATCTGTTACAAAACTTTGCATCTGTGTAAATTGTCCAAGTAGTCATTGTGCATAGAGTTGTATGGTTTGTTCAACTTTGAAATCAATGGTTATTGTTTGGCATACATCAGTGTAAATCTGTTCCCGTGGAATTGCCCCTATGTATCTGACCCATACTGTTAGAGGGATTTGCATGAGAGCTCCTGTTATGCTGAATTGATGGGCTTTATATGACCCAGACTGGATGGACTGTGTTCCCTGGTCTTAGGTCTCCACCATGGGTGCCTTTATACACCAGGTCAGCTCACTGTAGATTGACCACTCCAGTCAATGGATTTCACCTCAGTTTGCACAGAAGGCATATTATTATATTTGTTTTAACAGATGTAAAATATTTGCTATGGTTAGGGGGCAGTGTTTATTACATTTTCCTGTGAGGGGAATCTGACCGGCGTGCGCCTCTGTTCCAAAAATACTACATATCCCTGAAATAACTCTAAAGGGGAGACCTGCAGTTTATTTACTTGGTAAATATTTGGTTATTATTTTCAAATTGAGCTCTAGGGTCCTTGCAAATAGACGTCTAAACATTTGTTGTGTTAATTGCCACAGGTCAGGAGAGGTTTCCGTATGTAAGTCCCAAACACTGTGACTGCTGAGAGAGGATGAATTTATTCTCAGCTCCTCCTTACGTGGACCCCAGGAAGAGTAGCTGCTACTTCAGCAACAGCTACTGGGGATCCCAATAAAAGGAAGTTACAGCAGGAAGTTTTACTCTGCCCAGTGGCATCCTGTTTTCAGACATACACTCTACATTGAGGAAGTAGGGAGGAGATAGTCACTGTTATTTTTTTATCCCCAGAACAAGTGAAAGCATGCATACAGTGTAAAGGTACACATAAGTATTCAAGTTTAGAAGAGAAGTGTTGTTGAGAAGTGTTTTTTAATGAAAAGTAACAAAATTCTTACATTAATTATATTACAATGTGTAAATGTAAAGTAGGAGAGCATCGCATTGTACACACTGCAAAACACACTAAACAGAAGGTCATATTTCACAGGACCAATATTGGTTAATACAGGTTGAGACTGCTACCTAGTGGTAAAAAATAAGCCATGGCAAAATACAGAGGACCCTCTCCATTTTGACTGTAATCAATATGGTAACAATGATTTATGTTGTACAGACAAAAAAAAAAGATGTAATATTTCAAAGTGCAGTTCACAATACAGTGAAATATGACTTACACTTAAGCATACAGGCAGTGTAAAAATGAGTCAACAACATTAAAGATTCACTCCAGGATCTTAAGCACAACAAATTAGTAACCACAGGAGGATGGTGGCACCTTAATTGGGGAGAACGGGCTCGTGGTAATGTCTGGAGCGGAATTGGTGGAACGGTATCAAATACATGCCATTCCATTTACTCCGTTCCGGACATTATTATGAGCCATTCGCCCCTCAGCAGCCTCCTGTGTTTGTAACATATAGTAAGAATTGGATTTGTAACATATCATAGGAATTGCAACAAAATAAATGAGCACCACCTTCAAAACTACTTAAATTATACAAAAGTTGGAGAGTGCATCTTTAAGTTCCAACTGCTTGCATATTTACAAGTGTGATATCACCTTTGTTATCTTTGGCTATGTTCTTTTTGATCTTCCTGTGCTTAAGAATCTTGGACATGAGCTTCTCATAGAACCATTCTATGTCCTGTGTGTCTTCCGGCCACTGTAGGTACTCCCTCTTCTGGACAAAGGTCCTAATGGCTTCGCATTTCATCAGTCTGTAATGGGGGACTTTCCCCACGATCACCATGATGAGAAAATCTCTGTGCTCCTCCAGCATCCTGCTCTGAGCCAGGGTAAAGGCCTCCAGGCACCAGCCGTCCTTAAGGAACTCTTTAGACACAATACACACTGTCTGCCTGCTCCCAAATGTGGCATCCCTGATGTTGGACAGGTGATCTTCACCTGGGATGAAGTCTCTGGCCTCAAAGCAGCACCGGAGGATGTTCCGCTCCGCCAACTGAGAGTCCAGCCTCTTCAACAGGGCAGTTTCTACCCACTTGTAGTCGTTGTTGCTGAAGCATAAGTAAGCATTGTACCGGGGCCCATCAGCAGGAGGATTCTTCCTAGGGCCCTCCAGGATCCTGGCGATCACCTTTTTGTAAACTTTGAAGAAGGATCCACGGAGTCTAAAACAATCATTCCGACGATGATCAGGACGATGAGGGCTGAGCAGACGACGAAGAGCGAGAGCCTCAGCTCCTGAACCAGCCCCTCGTCATCCTCCTCACACGATATGACTGTGCTGTAATTCAATAGGCTGACGCCATGGAGATTTGAGGGAAAATCACAGCTGAATTCATCCACGCCAGGGTCTGGAAAAGTCACTTTAGTCCCGTTCAGCCATGTCAGAAAGTCCTCTAGGCCGCAGTCACAGTGGAATCGTTTCCTATACAGGATGATCCAGCTGAGAGAATGGAATGCCGCTGGGTCAGGAGAGGCCAGGAAATTGTAAGAGAGGTCAAATGTTTTGAGACTCCCTGGGAAAATGTCTGGTTGGAGATATGTTGGGGCGGCAGGTAGCTTAGTGGTTAAGAGCGTTGTGACAGTAACCGAAAGGTCGCTGGTTCTAATTCCTGAGCCGACTAAGTGAAAAATCTGTCGATGTGCCCTTGAGCAAGGCACTTAACCCTAATTGCTCCTGTAAGTCGCTCTGGATAAGAGCGTCTGCTAAATTACTAAAATGTAATGTATGTGAGAGAGTTGAAGTGGAGATCCATCTGAGAGAGCCTGCAGTGGGTTCAAGCTTAGATCCCGACTAAAAAGGTTGCCAAGATTTTCAAAAACATGCAAACACTCTCCCCGTGCCCATATTACCTGCAAGGCGATGTTCCTTAACTCAAGCAGAGTTAGAGAGTTTAGAGAGTTCACAGCTGGCACTGAAATATTATTGTTAAGGGTGCACCACTTTATGAAGTTGTTACCATACCAGAGAAGCTTAATGTGCATTAATTTAACTAAAACAATGTATACATCCTCTAAATTAGTTTACCTGCGAGGCCCTCTAAGGATGTGATCTTATTATCAGCCAAACGAAGAAGTTGGATGTTTGGGAGTGGTGCAAGGTAACCATCTGTACCTAGAGTTTTCTGTAAGATCAAGGACTTGTAGGTGTGGAAGTCCTGTAAATGCCTGATATCCCAATGCACCAATATGATTGTAAGATGAATCTAGTTCTAAAATATTGGGTAGATTTTCAAATGTGTAAGAATAGATTTCCCCTATAAGATTGTGTGACAGGTTCAGCCGTTGTAGATTTTCAGGCCCAAAAAACACACCCCTGTCAATCTTGTTAGTTTTGTTTTGGGCTATTGTAATGTCCTGTACCTCTCTCAGTGGACTGAATACTGCTATTGCAAAGTAAATATAAAGCATTTGGACAAATCTAGAATCTTGACGGCACTATTCTTGAGGCCCTCAAATTGTTGCCTGTCTGGGTCTTTGACGTTGCTGAAACCAAATTATTTTCCCATGGTGCTGTGTTTTAGAATAAGATGGTGAATTTTGGTCCCTCGGATTGCATTGAAAAACAGTTTTGCCTTGTCCACATTGAATCCATTGGACGATAAGTCAAGTATCTCCATGGACATGTTCCGTAAGGGATTTCCGCATATTTTCCAGTCAAAGCCATACTGAGTCATGCTATTCAGTTGGATGCTGCTCAAGTCAAGGAGCCAAAATTGTTTGCCTTGAAAGCCAAGCAAATCTTCCTCACATATGCATGTCATCCTGTTTAGGGTAACATTTAGCTCTTGGAAATCTATCATGTTCACAAAGAACAGTGCAGGTTGGATTATTTTCATCTGGTTACCATACAGATCTAGCATTTCCAAGGAGACCAGGGGTCTGAGATAGTCGCCCTCTAATACAGATTCAGTCAGCTCACAATTATATAGAGAGAGAGTTCTCAGGTTAGACAGTCCCACAAACCCATCTGGTTCGATCTGTAAACCTGAGTTATGTCCTAAATAGAGCTTTACCAAGTTTGCCAGCCTTTGAAACGTGTTAGTTCTTATAATAAGCCCATTTACTCATTGCCAACTGAGGTCCAGTTCCTTTAACCCTTCAAGCCCAGAGAAGGATGTCTCATTGATCTCACTGATGTAGTTTACACTCATATACACAAAGGTAATGTATGGAGGCAGCAGAGGGACCGGATGTAGAGACTGTGGTGCAAGCTGCTATAGAGCCATATAGTGGGCATCTTGGGGTGCCTTTCACCACCTGCAGGTATACTCCAAAGATAGCCAGCAGTATAAGGTTCCTCATCATCCCCCCCTGACAGAAAGTAGAAAATAATGCAAATTATTAAAAGATAATTAAAATGATTGTTATGACATAACAGGGCTATAGTCCATAAATTCATTTGATGGATATATCAGTCTTGGAGTATCTGCTTCAGATTAGACATCCTTGGCTATAGGGAATTCACATTTAACTGTCTCTTTGCATTGAAAGATCCATAGTCCACTGGCTTTGTCCCAACCTGATAATGAAAATCCTTTATTTGTGTGCTGAGTACACAGCCTTACTCTAGTCTGGTGTCACAAGGCTTACATAGGGATGTTTGTATTATATGAATGAATCACTTCTACCCCCAAGTGTGTAAACCAATGAGAGTGCCTCTGGCAATTTAATTATGGCCTCGTTTGATGTGGCTGAACAATTATCACGAGACCTATTATGCGGCCAGTAAAATTGTTTTAAAGGGGCAATCTGGAATTCAAAAACTCTGACACTCTTCTGGCAAACAACTGAGGGATGGGGCTGGAGAAATGTAACCACTCTCAAATAGATGGTGCTATGGATGCAAGGACTGACCATCCATGACATCATAATTACAGTTTTAACCATGTTTTGAAGCTATAGTGTTTGTTTACAGTTAAATATTTTACAAACAATGGAGTAAAACAAGCTTCTATTTTGGGTTATGATGGGGTAAGACAGAACTAAGCTCTTGAGTAATTTATAAAATACAGTATGTTCTTCAAGAATCAGAAAATGGATGTAGGTGTCACGGATCCCCCAGGTACTGCTGCGTTCACCAGCTCCGGAGGTCTACGTCACCGGCCTTCTAGGTGTCACTGACCTGGATCATTACCACCAACCCCGGACTGTCTTGTTTCATTACGCACACCTGGTTCCCATTCCCCCTGATTAGTATGTGTATATATGTGCCTTCTCTTCTCCATTGTCCTTGTTGAATACTGTCCCATGTCCGTTGGTCTCGTGAGTACCTATGCTCTGTTGTATCGGCTTTCGTGCTACGTGTTACAGTACATTGTATTATGGTTAACATGCCGTGTAATTGTGCACTTGTTATTACGGGTCTCGTCCCGTGTTTTATTTAGAGGTTTACACCTCGCTCTTTTGTTTGGGTTACATCCCTGTGATATATATGTGTTTGTTTTGGACTTTGACCACGTCATTTTTCATGACATACCTTTTGTTGGGTAGAGAACTAAAAAAAACTATTACGTATTCCTGTGCCTGTCTTCTATCATTATACAATGTGACAGTAGGCCTACCATTCCCAGTATCCCCCTTGAAATGTACTTAATGAGGCTACAATTATTTGACATTCAATAAAGTTGTCATCTAAAGAACTGTGAGGTCCTAATATGACTTCAAGATGACAGCAATTGTTGCAGCCTGGTGCGTCAATTAGTAAAGTTGTCTTTGGGCAATGTAACCATTCAAGTAGGCATAGGCATATAATCTATGACATCTAATTTGTTGAAGTGGACATACTGTATGCCACGACCCCCCCCAAAACAATGTTCTCTATCTATCAACAACTATACACGGTAATGCACTTATTATAGTAAACAGTAAGCTAAAGGTAAAGGTTGTGGCTTACCTAAACACTCGTCGAGCTGCTGAGCCTTTGTTTACAGGATAGGCTACTCCTTTCGCAGATACTGTAACTCGAAGCACTGTTTTTCACAAACTCCTCCCCTGAAACTGACTGAAATGTTCTTATCCAACAATGTTTGAGAGTTAATTACACAATAATCTGACTTCTGACTGACTTTAAATTCAGTTTTTATAGTCCAGTGGTCTTGGTAATTCAAACCCTCTTGAAATACACAGGGACATTTTTTTTCCCTCTGTGTCAACATGTTGCGCAATATTGTGTCAATTTCCCAAATAACTGCAGAATTTCTTCTTTACAGACCACCAATGAGCTGACATTGCAAAGTTGTAGAAGTTCATCATGTGCATTCGAAATTATGGAGTTTGCAATGCATTACATTGTTATTACACATTATGCTAATTACATGTGTAGAACCAGGGGAACTTTCTTTCTGTCTCAATACTCCATATAGTAGTATACAATCCGATAGCCTGGGCTACTTAAAGACCCACTCCCTCCTTTTGATGGGATGAAGGTCAATGTTAAATCCTTAGTGAAGTGGACGCCAAGGAACTTGAACGAATGAATGGCAGTAGAGGCAGAGGTGATGCATTTATTGCTAGCTAGCTAACAAAAATAGCCTACAGTGTAAATAAAATCTTCAAATTAATTATGTAACACAATATCTTATCACAGCACTGACATTCAGAGACCTGTCCCGAAGCCACTCCTGCGTTGTCTTGGCTGTGTGGTTAGGGTCATTGTCCTGTTGAAAGGTGAACCTAAGAACCAGTCTGAGGTCCTGAGCGCTCTGGGGCAGGTTTTCATCAAGGATCTCTCTGTACTTTGCTCCGTTCATCTTTCCCTCGATCCTGACAGTCCCTGCCGCTGAAGAACATCCCCACAGCATGATGCTGCTACCACCGTGCTTCACCGTAGGGATGTATCAAGGTTTCCTCCAGACGTGACGCTTGGCATTCAGGCCAAAGTGTTCAATCTTGGTTTCATCAGACCAGAGAATATTGTTTCTCATGGTCTGAGAGGCCTTTTGGTGACTTTTGGCAAAATCCAAGCGGGCTGTCATGTGGCTTCCGTCTGGCCACTACCATAAAGGCCTGATCGGTGGAGTGCTGCAGAGATGGTTGTCCTTCTGGAAGGTTCTCCCTTCTCCACAGAGGAACTCTGGAGCTCTGTCAGAGTGACCATCGGGTTCTTGGTCACCTCCCTGACCAAGGCCCTTCTCCCCCGATTGCTCAGTTAGGCCGGGCGGACAGATTTAGGAAGAGTCTTGGTGGTTCCAAACTTCTTCCGTTTAAGAATGTTGGAGGCCACTGTGTTCTTGGGGACCTTCAATGCTGCAGACATTTTTTGGTACCCTTCCCCAGATCTGTGCCTCGACACAATCCTGTCTCGGAGCTCTATGGACAATTCCTTGACCTCATGGCTTGGTTTTTGCTCTGACATGCACTGTCAACTGTGGGACCTTATATAGACAGGTGTGTGCCTTTCCAAATCATGTCCAATCAATTGAATTTACCACAGGTGGACTCCAATCAAATTGTAGAAACATCTCAAGGATGATCAATGGAAACAGGATGCACCTGAGCTCAATTTCGAGTCTCATAGCAAAGGGTCTGAATACTTATGTAAATAAGGTATTTCTGTTTTTTATTTATAATACATTTGCAAATTTTTTCGCTTTGTTATTATGGGTTATTGTGTGTAGATTGATGAGGAATTTTGTTTATTTAATCAATTTTAGAAAAGGCTGTAACGTAACAAAATGTGGAAAAAGTGAAGGGGTCTGAATACTTTCCGAATGCACTGTATACACACCATTTACAAACCCACACACGTTCACATACACTACATACGCACACATACACATTGCACGCGCATACCGACACAACAGAAACACACATAAATACACATTAATCACATATCCGCACACACACACACACACACACACACTTTTGAACTCATCATTTTCTGCTGCTACTCAGTTCTTTATTTTACTCGTATTATTATCTATCCTGATGCCGTCACTTTACCCTGCCTTCATATACATATCTTCCTCAAGTACCTCGTACCTCTGCACATTGATCTGGTACTGGTACTCCCTGTATATAACTCCATTTGTGTGTATTTAATTTTATTCCTCTTGTGTTACTATTCTATTGCTAAACTTAGCATTGTTGGGAAGGGCTCTTAAGCAAGCATTTCATGGTAAAGTCTACACCAGTTGTATTCTGCGCATGTGACCAAGATGGCTGCCATTTTGGACCCATTATGGAACTTTAAGGGGTTTATGACATAGACCCTCTAGTAATATAGAGGGCTTGCAGTCGCGTCACAAATCACCTAGCAACCACACCAGGCGCCATGTTTGAAGACCAGAGTCAGTCTGGTGGAAGTCCTCCAATCGTCCACATGGTTGGCTGAATTTTGCTTCCACCGGAAACTTCTGGAAGATTGCCTATTATTTCCCTTTTCTAAGGACCGGGAAAACGGAGGCAGTGGGAGAACCTATTCAAGTACACTACCGGTCAAAGGTTTTAGAACACCTCAAGGGTTTTTCTTTATTTTTACTATTTTCTACATTGTAGAATAATAGTGAAGACATCAAAACTATGAAATAAAACTTTAGTAGTGTATGTAAATACATTTTGAAAATGATAGCTACAGGAACTATGTTTGCAGGCTAACTCGAATGACCTAACATAATTTTCGCTAGCTTGCTAGCTAACTTTACATACTCTACAGCTAGCCAAGTTAATTAAATATCACTAGCTAGCTAACTTCATATTAGCTAGTTAGCTAGCTATCTTGACATATTTATCATTGTAACTCAAAATGCATTTGTAGCTAGCGAACAGCCATGGAAGAGGGGGAAAGGATTAGCTAGCAGTTCCAGCTGTCAGAGAAGGGAGAGTAGGCTACTCTGGATAGAGCACTTACCTTTGTGGGAGGACAGTATGAAAATATTCTACAGTTCCAGTCCCTAGCGAAAAAAACTTAGGACAAAGAGATATAGCAACATAATATTCAGTGCTGTCTAATTTGAGCATAACGCAGCCTGTTTCTTTGTGATGTTTTCTGTCCTCAGATACAGTGAGCTGTGATACCCTGTCTGCAGATGAAGAGGTCCCAATGAATGTCCCAAGAGAATAGGGGTGTGTCCTTGTATACCATGGATTAGAGGTCTTCACGGTTTCAACAGACCCGAAATTCTGAAGGAGACAAACCCGAGCGTGTCCTGGTCCTAAATTTGGTCGGATATAATTTCCACGGGTCTCGGGTATGTGCAATTAAAATGTATTTACTAGGGGTGTAACGATTCATCTACTACATCGATGTATCGATTTATATTCATATGATCCAACTACATCGATCTGTGCGCGGCGAGTTGGCCTTTTGGACA